GGGATCAGAATGCCATGCTCCCAGCGGTATAGGAGAAGATACCGCTCATGTATAGGACATTTTTACAACAGTCTGTGGGATCCTCTTGAACGATTTCCCCTCCTGTGCCAATGACAAAGCTGTTAAAGTGGAAGTGAGGAGAAATCTCCAAAAACCTCTCAGAGAAATTGACTCCTACCCCACTCTACTAAAGTGTTCAACTGCTGCTTGTCCCTGTTGGAGAGATTCCCCCTAACTTCCTCTTCCAGTAAGACTGATATTAGTCACAACCTGAAGGTAAATCTTTTGAAAGGGGACAGAGACAGAAGTCAGTGACAACAGTACTAAGGTTACCTCATCTTCCAACTGTGGTGCCTAGGCGAGGTCACAGTTCTTCTGCCAAGATAAGGTAAACGCTATGGATCCCAAATCCAGAGGTGCTCCGGCTTTGGATAGAGTAAGGGAGGGTTATAAACACTGTCAGCCCCCCTCCCCAATTTGTGTCCCATTGGGGAAACTTACCTTTGCTTCTTGTCCCATAGCCAAGACAGGAAGTAAGAGGAAATCCCTGCAAATTAAGGGAATCCCTTGAGGTCCCCAGAACTAGAGTCCCTATTGGAAGATTTCTTATTACTTTTCTGGGAACAACCCAAAATTTGGGATTTACTGTCACTTTCAATTATAATGGAAAAGAGGACACATAGAGAGGGTGAATCTCCCTATTGGGTGGGGGGGGGGGCACCGACAGCAATGCAAAATGAATAGGGGTTCTGATCCATCTCCACACTATCCAACACTAACAAAAATGTTTTGCCTTCAGTTATAAGTTAACTACATTGTCTAAGTTTTCACTTTTCTCTGCCAGAGGCTACATTTTACAGCTATCATGCAGGATTTTTAGAAGGGGGGCAGTTAGGACATCTTAGGATGTCCATACTACGCAAAGAATAACCAGAGTAGTTTCTTGATGACTGTATACATGCGTTATATAACTGCATTAGATACGTGTCAACCTTTAGAAATGGCAAGCTCCCACACTTAGACCGTTCATCATTACTAGAGTTGAATTGCTTTGGTTTGACCTTAGGATTCGGACCGAACCAAGAAACAAGCTATCGCTACTGCCAAATGAGCACCCAATCAGCTGCAGCCAATGCATTCCCTGCATCGCAGCCACACGTAACAAAGGGGCAGTGATGCTTGTGACATCCACAAGGCCATATTTGAGCATGCATTAAAAAAGTGTGGCGCTATAAGTGCAAATACAAAGTACAGATAATATAAATGTGACAAATATTATAAAAAGTATATGTGGAAGTGAGTAAAAAAAAACCCAGTGTCAAAGGACACTAAAAAACGTCCTTGAGTGCAATCACAAATCTTCAATTTAGATGATCAACCATATTCAAATGATACACGTGTCCCCCCACTCAGTGCTCAAGGGAGGCTTACCGGATAAATTTGACCATCATTGTATAGAATGGTCAATTTGGGCACAGATATATTCTGAGGCGACCGCTCCAGCCTCCCCTACAGCCTCCAACCATGGGTTAAATGGCGTTCACCCACTTGGCAGTATTTCTGCATGATTGCTCCGCTACATCCAGCCGTCCACCCGGGGAGGAAAGAGGAGGAGGTCTCGGGGAGGAGAGCGGTCCTGGGGATCAGAGGGCGTCCCGGTGCCAATCACAAAGCCCAAATATCCGGAGAGCCAAACGACAGTGGATGGCAGCTGTTGCTAGGCTCTCCGGATCTGTGGGCTTTGTGATTGGCTCTGAGACCAGGACCTCCTCCTCTCGGCTCCCTGGGAAGACGGCTGGATGTAGCGGAGCAATCATGCAGAAGTTGGCAGCTGTTGCTCGGCTCTCCAGATCTGCGGGCTTTGTGATAGGCTCTGGGACCAGGACCTCCTCCTCTCGGCTCCCTGGTCAGACGGCTGGATGTAGCGGAGCAATCATGCAGAAGTTGGCAGCTGTCGCTCGGCTCTCCGGATCTGCGGGCTTTGTGATCGGTTCCGGGACTGGGACCCCCTCTTCTCCCCGGGACCTCTTCCTCTCTCCTTCCAAGGTGGACGGCTGGATGTAGCAGAGCAATCATGCAGAAGTGCTGCCGAGAGGGTGAACGCCATTTAACCCATGGTTGGAGGCTGTAGAGGAGGCTGGAGCGGTTGCCTCAGAATATATCTGTGCCCAATTTGACCATTCTATAACATTATGGTCAAATTTATCCGGTAAGCCTCCCTTGAGCACTGAGTGGGGTGACACATGTATCCCTTGAATATGGTTGATCATCTAAATTGAAGATTTGTGATTGCACTCAAGGACATATTTTAGTGTCCTTTGACACTGGGACTTTTTGTATTCAATTCCACATATACTTTTTGGATTTTTTTGTCACATTTATATTATCTGTATTTGCACTTTTAGCGTCGCACTTTTATATTTATGTTTTGCCAATTCTTTGTATCAGAATTTAGTGCTGGCAGCTTATGTTTTTGTGAACCAGCACAGATTCTGATACTATTTTTACACATATTTGATCATGGCCATAGTATGGTATGATGTCATAAGCATTCCGGTCCTTTGTTACATGCAACTGTGGGGCAGGGAATGTCCGAGCTGTGGCTAACTGGGCACTGATTTGGCAGCAGTGTCCTCTGGATTCAGTCTGTACCTAAGTTCAGATCAAACCTGCGCTCATCCCTAATCATTATCTTTGGTCTAAACTGCATTACTGTACAATGTCTTTACATGTTTACTATGCCATCTATCCAGCACTGGTTCTGATGTGTAAAGGCATGTTTATATATTGGGGTTTAGAGACTGTTTATTTTTATATCACTAACAAAACGTTCATTTAGCTTAGTGAAAAGGTGATTCTTTGTTCACTTTAAACCAGTAATAAACCCAAAAGCAAACCTTTATTATATTGCAGTTTACCAATCCTTAGATGTGATGGCTGTATCAGTTTTCATTTTAGGCTTTTTTTCTTCTATTTTCATCTGGAGATCCTGGCTGTAATGTTATTTCTCAACAGAACAAGCACGCTTACAGTTACAAGGATGAGACAAACCATTTAACACTGATAGAAGTGTTTAAAATGGTAAGCTTTTACTTTAGTGATGCAAAACCTTTATCCCAAAAGGAAAAAAAAAAAACTGTTGCAGTTACTGAATATGAAGTGTGAGCTGGAATTTGGCTTCGATTTGTTAGTGTATCTAAATCTGCTAGTACATCGAACACTCGCCTCCTGCCAGACTGACAATCCTGCTATTCAGCGGTGCCCCCTGTGCTCATTCATCCAGAGTGAAGGCACTTTAATGCATGAGGTGTGTTACTGGCTAGATCACTAGGTGAAAACAGAGTGGGAAAAAAAGCCATCAAAAACTCCTACTACAGCCACAGCATCTAATGATTGGTAAGCTGCAATATATTACATTTTTGGTATTGGGTTTAATAGTGCTTTAATTTCCCTAACAAATAACTTGGCATTTAGTGTGAACAGCTTATTTACTAGGTGAATACTTTTCAAAGTAAACATACATCTTGCTAAGCGAACAGCTTTGATTCATTTAGTAAACCAACCCCCACTGATTCTAGCCAAGCAATTTTCTAGATCTGATATTTTAATTTGGTTCAACCTGCCTCCTTTTCCTTGAAGCGCAGGCACTAGAAGTGACAATTACAGCACTTTTATGGCTAGTTTACACTAATGTTGCTCTCTGAAGAGGACATTTGACAAGTGGTGAGAAGGTGCTGTATTGCATTCTTCCCGCCTGTTGCAACCCCTTAAACCTCACATTAGTGTGTTCCAACCACCTGCATTGCGCACGGCTGCACAGATGAATGGACGCATTCAGTGGGTGGTAGTGGCAGCTGAATGCAACACTGGGGAAACTTTTTTGCCATGCTGCAATGTAAAGCTTCACAGATGCAGCATATGTACCCCCCCCCCCCCCCCCCCCCACTGTCTCTGCAGCACAGAGTGGAATTGGTGAAAGGCAGTAAAACCATTAGTCAGCCACACGATTTTACCTTACACATTACGATTGAATTACTAACAGCAGATAGGCTGCTCACTTTGCAAGGGAATTTTACCTTAGCTTAGTGAATATAGAAAATATGCACTTTGCAAAAACTACCCAATCAAGTGCAAGTAAAATGCTTGCACACGGCTGGATGATGAGCAGAGCTTCACCACATTCTCTAACCTTTGAAACCAACGACTGATTTACTAACAGCAGATAGGCTGCTCACTTTGCAAAGGAATTTTCCCTTAGCTTAGTGAATATGGAAAGCATGCACTTTGCATAGACTACCCAATCATGTGCAAGTAAAATGCTTGCACACGATTGGATGATGAGCAGAGCTTCACCACATTCTCTAACCTTTCAAACCAATGACTGATTTACTAACAGCAGATAGGCTGCTCACTTTGCAAAGGAATTTTCCCTTAGCTTAGTGAATATGGAAAGCATGCACTTTGCATAGACTACCCAATCATGTGCAAGTAAAATGCTTGCACACGACTGGATGATGAGCAGAGCTTCACCACATTCACTAACCTTTCAAACCAATGACTGATTTACTAACAGCAGATAGGCTGCTCACTTTGCAAAGGAATTTTCCCTTAGCTTAGTGAATATGGAAAACATGCACTTTGCAAAAGACTACCCAATCATGTGCAAGTAAAATGCTTGCACACGACTGGATGATGAGCAGAGCTTCACCACATTTTCTAACCTTTGAAACCAACGACTGACTTCCTAACAGCAGACAGGCTGCTCACTTTGCAAGGGAATTTTCCCTTAGCTTAGTGAATATGGAAAGCATGCACTTTGCAAAGACTACCCAATCATGTGCAAGTAAAGTGCTTGCACATGACTGGATGATGAGCAGAGTTTCACCACATTCTCTAACCTTTGAACCTTGAAAAGTGAACAGTCTATTTGCCTTTAGTCAATCAACACTACTGACTCTTATTCAAAGTTTTCTAGCTCATCTCTTCTGGATTCAACCCACCTCTTTTTGTTTGGTCTCTGGGCATTCAGAATGTAGCGTAAGAGTCGCCCCTTCAATATTCCTTGGCATGGGCGTAGAACCAGGATTAATGGTAAGATGAATCTGGTCTGGAGAAATAATGTGCTGAACATATCCTTGCGACATAGCATCCTGTTCAGACATAAGCAGGAGTCCTTCTTCATTGGCAGCGTCCAAGAAAGGCAAGTTAGTTCCCACATTGGCATCATCGTCGTCCTCATCTTCGTCTTCCTCGGACAGCTGCTGGTCCTGCTCTATAAGCACGGTGGTGGTGTCATATACAGTGCCCGATTCCCGTCCTCCCTTCTCCAAAAACCACTTCCTCATCTTGTCCTCTGAACACAACCCATCCTCCTCCATTGAAATCAGAGCCAACTCCGGACTATTCTCCCCCATGATTGATTCAACAAGTCAATGACACTTCTCCATCTGCCAAAGATGAACCATCTCAGGTTAAGAAGATAAAAAACGCACCACCACATGTTCATGGGGCAACATAGATGAAACTCCCCCCCCCCCCCCCCCCCCCCCCCACGGAAAAAAAAAAAAAAAGTCAACGTGTCCAGATAAATACGTCTAACTCCAAGGAAAAAAAAAAGGGGGAAAAAATGGGAAGGAATGTAGCGGTGTTAAATAATCTCACATCCAGATGCCTTCTGCTGTCATGTTTACAAAATAAAAAAAGTTTTCTAGAATCAGATCAGGTTTTCCCCACACAATACATGTATGGGTCGTGATGAACTAGAATTAGGTTTCCTTTCGTCTTGATTGACTTGTCCAATTATCTGTAGCTGAACTTAGCACAGTGTTTCCCCTTTTCCTTCATCGAACACAATTGTCTGCCATGTAGCTGCCAGGCAGGGACAGTGTGACAAGCCACCACCAAGACTCTGCTACTGGACATAGTGCAGGCTGACGGTCCAGTCTTCGGAGCACAATGAAGGGGGCACTTTGTCAGCAGTCCCTTGGGCTCCCTGCCCCCTCGAGAAGGAAAGGGATAGCACACAACACACTCCTCAGTCCACACGAAAGCCTCTCTCCTCCATACACAGCGCCAGGACTAAGCATGGGCCAAACGGACTGCACAGAAGAAGTTCCCCCAACAGAAAGCACCCCGAACCTGCCACTAATCTCCGGCCTGCTGCCCTCAACTCATGCCCGAACAGCGCCACTTCCTGATCCGCTTCCTTCACCTGAGCATCGGCAGAGACGGAGAGCAGGAAGGGACATACTGCCAGAAAGCGAGCAATCCGGAGAGGTCACGTGACGGAAGAGCGTGAGAATGTGGGAAGAAACGCAGCATGTGACAGGAGTCGTTTCTCTGGCAACAGGATGGTGCTTGCAGTGACGAATAGGCCGTGACATGCGACCAGAGCGCCCTCTGTTGATTTTTTTGTAGAACAGGCACCTTACGCAATAAGCGGATGCTTTCTGCTCGTGAACGCGCACAAGAATCACCTCATACATGCACACGTTGCTCACACGCCTAGAGAAGGGCTACACTGTGCAACAGATGAAGATTAGCGCCTTACTTACAGGAGTGGGACAAAATGATGGAAATGACAGATAAAAGAACAAAATTGTTTCCCACTATGGTGTTGGACCGCCTTTGGCATCCAAGATGGCCTGAATTCTCTTCGGAATCGTCAAATATAAGTCTTGGATGGTGGATAATGAAATCCGATACCAGTCTTTATGCAAAAATCATTCCAGTACTCACACAGATTCCAGAGGCAGAAAACGAGCCCAGACTTTGTTCTCTAAAATTCCCCATAGTGGCTCGGTACTTGTCTGCTAATTCACCGGATTTATTTATTTATATATATATATATATATTTTTTTTTATATGTTTTATATAAATATATTACAAATATATATATATTTATATATAAATAAAAAAAATCTGGTGAATTAACAGACAAGTACTAGTGGCTCTATGATTTTGAGGTCCGGCGATTGTGGTTCCCAGGGAAGGTGTGAGAATTCGTCTGAATGCTCGTCAAACCAGAATTTGACAAATCCAGCTGTGTGAATCGGAGCACTCTTTGTGCAAAAATCGTTCCAGTACTCGCAGAGATTCCACAGGCAGAAAACGAGCCCAAACCTTGTTCTCCAAAATTACCCATAGTGGATCTATGATACTGAGATCCAGCAACTGCGACACCCAGGGAAGGTGTGAGAATTCGCCTGCCTGCTCGGCAAACCACGATTTGACAAAACCAACTGTATAAATAGGAGCACTCTTCATGCAAAAATCGTTCCAGTACTCACAGAGTTTCCAGACGCGGAAAATGAGCCCAAACCTTGTTCTCCAAAACTCCCCATAGTGGTTCTCTGATATTGCGATCCAGTGACTGCGGCGCCCAGGGAAGGTGTGAGAATTTGTCTGCATGCTCGCCAAACCACGATTTGACAAAACCAACTGTATAAATAGGAGCACTCTTCATGCAAAAATCGTTCCAGTACTCACAGAGATTCCAGACGCGGAAAATGAGCCCAAACGTTGTTCTCCAAAACTCCCCATAGTGGTTCTCTGATATTGCGATCCAGTGACTGCGGCGCCCAGGGAAGGTGTGAGAATTTGTCTGCATGCTCGTCAAACCACGATTTGACAAACCCAACTGTAGAAATAGGAGCACTCTTCATGCAAAAATCGTTCCAGTACTCGCAGAGATTCCAAGGGCAGAAAATGAGCCCAAACCTTGTTCTCCAAAATTACCCATAGTGGCTCTATGATATTGCGGTCCAGTGACTGCGGCACCCAGGGAAAGTGTGAGAATTCGCCTGCCTGCTCGTCAAACCACGATTTGACAAAACTGACTGTATAAATAGGAGCACTCTTCATGCAAAAATCATTCCAGTACTCGAAGAGATTCCACAGGCAGAAAATGAGCCCAAACCTTGTTCTCCAAAATTACCCATAGTGGCTCTATGATATTGCAGTCCAGTGACTGCGGCACCCAGGGAAGGTGTGAGAATTCGCCTGCCTGCTCGTCAAACCACGATTTGACAAAACCAACTGTAAAAATAGGAGCACTCTTCATGCAAAAATCGTTCCAGTACTCACAGAGGTTCCAGACGCGGAAAATGAGCCCAAACCTTGTTCTCCAAAATTACCCATAGTGGATCTATGATACTGAGATCCAGCAACTGCAGCACCCAGGGAAGGTGTGAGAATTCGCCTGCATGCTTGTCAAATCACTATTTGACAAAATCAGCTGTGTAAATTGGAGCATTATTGTCTTGGTAAATGGCGTTGTCTTCAGGAAAAATCTGCACCATGGGGTGCACACGGTCAGCCAAAATTTGTACATAGGTGCTGAAAAAGTGATTCTACCTTTCAAGGTGATGATGGGGCCTGCAGAATACCAAGATATGGATGCCCAAACCATGATTTTGCCGCCACCATGCTTTACTGTTGGCACAAGACAGTTTTGGTCGCAAGCTTGGGATTGTGTTCACCAGCCATAAATCATGTCTGCTGGTTGGGAACAGTGTGAAGCTCGATTCATTAGACTATATTACAGTCTTTCATTGATCGACATTCCACAATTTATGGGTGTTGCGCCAGTCTCTCTTCTTCTGAGCATTAATATTGATCATTAGTGGTTTGGCAAATGCAGCTCACATGTGAATGTTTTTGCTTATGGAGTTTCCTCTGCACAGTGAACACAAGCTTTGGAAGACTGAGATAGAGCTCTGCAGTCACTTTTGCAGAAGTTGATGGAGAAGAAGTCTCCTGTTAAGATCAGGAGTACCTTACCCCAGGTACTTGAAGTGCTAAGAACACAGGATTCTTCTCACATGCAGCAGCGTGCCAGTACTAGTGCTGCACTACCTTTTAGCAAGCGCCAATGGCCTAGTACATTCTGGCCCTTTACACACCAGCACTGCAGTATCTCATGGTGATTTGGCAAGTCCCAGAAATGCAATCCAAGCTTGTGAGGTGGCTAGCACTAGTAGTGTCCCGCAGCCACCAGGAATTGTACTATGAGCTTGTACAGCCCATAGTGTCCTATCAGATGTGCTTGCAAATTCTGATTGGCAGCCCCAGATCCAGCAGCACCTGTTTTTCCCTCATTCACAGCCAACCCGGAATTCAGGTGGAAATAGCAAATTAAATAACCCTTGATTTTTTTAGCTGTTTTTCACGGAAGATCTGTATCAACTGATTGTGGACCAAACAATCTGTAGAGTACATCCCTGCCAGAACCAAATTAAACTCTTGCCAGACCATACACGTGGAAACCTGTCACGGTTTCTGAAATTAAAACTTTTCTGGACCTAATTCTTAACAAGGACATTACAAAAAAGAATGAATTGTGGTCACATTGATCCACAGACCCAATTCATCATATGAAAATGTTCTCTACTGCAATGGCCAGGAAAAGATATGAGACAATGCACTTCATGCATGTAGATGAGTCCCTCATACATTTCACTGGCCACCTTGCAGTCAAACAGTGTCAGGGATCAGGGATCCGGGTGTGACCAGAAATGTGTGGACTGACACAGGGGAGTAGCAGGCTTCAGGAACACAGGCGTAGTCAGGGCTGGAGAGGTGGAATGGTCAGGCGGGCCATAAGGTACTGTCAGGAACCACCCGGCGGGATCTCTAGTGACCCACAAAACAGGATTCCCCAGGGCGCGGAGTCTAAGCCCCAGTCTGCCTTTTCACCAGAGCCCCTGATGGTGGGGATGGACTTGGCGCAGAACTGAGACCAGGTCGCGGCCCCTGAGTGCACCCAACTGTGGTAGAGGGGTCCGCTAAGGGTATGTACCGGGGGAAAGCCTGATATGAAGGGGCTGGCAGGTTTGGACAGTAGTGACTGGATCCATGCGGGATGGATGGATCGTCTGGGTAGCGTCAGGCGTAGTCAGGCAGGCCAGGTTAGCAACGTGCGGGCAGTGTGGTACCAGAGGAGCAGGCAGAAAATAGTCAGGGTCACAAGCCGGGTTCAGTAACTCACGGGAAGCGCGGTACAGAGGATCAGGCAGAAGGATGGTCAGGCAAGCAAGGGGTTCAACAGGAGACGGTCAGCAGAGGTCAGGATCAAAGCAAGTCAGCAACTAGGCAGATAGGCAGGAACACAGGATACCAGGTACAGGGGCTCATGGGAAACATACACCAAGGCCCTGACTGCAGGTCTGGCCATTCCTTAAATACACCTCCTGCAATCAGCCCCAGGTGTTGGCTGATTGCAGGAGTGAGCTTCTGGCTGCTGAGAGCACCCGCTGATCAGCCCTGGTACTGCAGCCCACACGGCAGGTGAGTCCCACCACCAGTACTGAGTCCTTTCCTGACACAGTATCTCAGTATCACAGTATGAGGTAAAGGACAGTGAAGTAGAGTCCCCCAACTACCCAGATTACATGGGGAGCAGTTCAGTTGCAAG